AAATATATGCGATGATAATAGCAAGTAGAGTTTAAAAAGTTCTATCACAAATGATACATCAAGACAAATAGGCTTCCTACCTAATAAACAAATGAAGAATAATACCAGACTAACACTAAATGTAGTAGAATATTATGAAGCACATCCAGAGGAACAGATGGCATTGGTTATTTTTAGATGCAGAAAAGGCATTTGACAACATAAACTGGAATTTTCTGATAGCCCAATTAGAAGCAATGGGTACCAGAGAAAACTTTCTAGCCAAAATAAAAACCATATATACTTAACAGGAAGCAAAGGTCAAGGTGAATGGAGAATTAACTGGAAAACTTAAAATCAAGAAAGGCACAAGACAAGGATGCTCACTATTATCACTACTATTTATCTTAATGATAGAAATCCTTAACCAGCAAATTAGACTGAATACAAAGATAAAGGGACTAAAAGTAAAAGAAGAATTTAAGATTCAAGCATATGCAGATGACCTAGCAATAATATTAGATGGTCCTACAGATTCAATAGACTCATTGACAGAGAAAATAACAGAACTTGGAGCCATGACCGGATTTAAAATAAATAAACAAAAAACAAAACAAAACAGTGTAAGCAATTCAATTATCATTTAATAAGGAAAGCTTCAATATGGATTTGGTCATCAATTCAAATACAAAATTATCGAAAGATACCAAGCTGGATGGCGCTCTTAGAAGCATTTTCAAATCCAACACTAATGGGGGAAAAAAAGAAGCTTTAGATATGCAGATGTTTTTGACAAAGATGGCAACTTAAAAGGAAAAAAGGAGTTATTAGAACAAGATATCACTCTAGATTGGTGGTCAGAAACCCAATTAAAGTCTAGATATGCAAAAGATAAAGTGTTAGGTTTTTATACAGAACAAACAATATTGGATAAGGGGTTATTAGATAAGAAAGAAAAAATTATAAAATGCCCACACAATATCTTACTAGATCAAACAATGCAAGATGAGATTGTCAAAGATTGTATGATTAAATGGACCCAAAACATTGGTCATAATATAGAATTAGATGCCTGGAAATAAATATAGGAAAGGAATAGTAAAATGACAAGATCAACAAGTCTTAAAGAAAAAAAAATATATAAGATGTTTTACAGGTGGTATTTAACACCAGAAAAATTATCAAAAATGTATAAAAATATATCTAATAAGTGCTGGAAATGTAATGATATGATAGGTAGTTTTATCATCTTGGTGGATGTGTAGGGAAGGTGAAGATTATTGGAAGTTGGTACATGAGATACTACAGAAGATTTTATCAATTAGAATTCCATTGATACCAGAACTTTTCTTACTAAACATTGTACCAGACTCAGCCGATAAAGGGAAGATATACTCCATATTGTGACAGCGGTGAGAATTTTACATGCCAGATACTGGAAGACATCAAGGACACCAACGATTTTCTTTTGGAAAAAAAATCCTGGAAATTACAGAGATGGACACTTTAACTTTAACAGACATACTAAAAGATAGTGAGACAGATAAGAATAAATGGGAGTCAATCTACGATTGAAGAGAACAATTAGATAAAGTAAATACTGTACAGTGAGAGGAAAATAGCAATGATGTACAGATATTAAATTTCTACCACACCCTGTAATTTTACCCTTTCCCCAAACCCTCTCCCATTCCCTTAACCCTGTACCACTGTTTATTCTGTAATAATAATAATAATTTAAATAAAAATAAAAATGGGTCAGTAGATTCCATCAGAGCAAAAACCTAACATGGGATGATTTATATTTAGTACTTTTCCCTGCTACAAATAAGACAGCTTTGTTACGGATTGCAGAGTCCACCCTCAAAGTGGGAAGGATTGGCAGCACGTTCTGTTGCCACCATTCTTTCCTAATGTGTATCCACACTAACAGCAGAGCAACAGCAAAAGAAATGTTCCTAGGGCTGGGCTTGACCAGAGGACCTCCAGCTTTCAAACTCCGCTCTATTGGCATTACAGTACTTAGATGTACAACGGGGAAAGTATTGTACAAAAGGGTTTTAAAATAAAATTAAAAACATTAAACATAGCATGAAAATATTTCCTAGCAGGAAAGCAACTACCTAGTCTAAGACTTAAGAGAAGTCCTTACACAAACAGTTATATTTTTAAAAAAGGTACTGGAAAGAATATAAAGATATAGCCGAAGGGGTATCTCTTCCAGAACATTCCACAGTATCTGTTGTACAATTTAAAAAACAATCCTTTCCTGGATTACATAGCATATAGATTAATTTTTTGCACCAAATTAATTTTTACTTTTTAAATAATTATTTTCTCTGAGTGATAAGTCTCCCCACATTTCTGTAAAGCAAGGTCTAATCAAGCAGTATAAAATCAACACTACAAAGATTGTGAAATAGAATGTAATTGTTAAAATCTGTCTTTTTCTCTAACCAATTTGCCTACACTGTTAATAAGAATGTTTTTCAGCAGGGCCAGTCTGCTCTCTGTGTCTTGCAGAGAACTAGGCTTAGCTAATAAACAATATTTTATTTTAGAAAATATCATGAACATTTTTTGAAAAAGCAAATATTGGAACAAACTCCTACCTGCCTTTTCTGCCACAAATATAATACATTACTAATGAGAGTATGCAGGTACTGAAGCCCCAGTTGAAAACCAAAAGGTTTGTTTTCCCACTGAGGCATAGAGGATTTATATTATAATTCCCATTAGCATTGATAGAAATTACCCATGTAAATCTATCCTATGTACAGTAAATTGAAAAAAAGAGAGACCACCAATATTTCAAATCAAATGCAGGACTCAGGGGACTTCATACATATTTATGACTATTTTTAAAAATCCATCGTCTTTCTCCAGATCAGTAACAATAAAGCAGGAAACATTAAAAAGCATTCTTAGCTAATGTTCAAAGCTTCACCTTCATAATTTTACAGAACAAAAGCAATACTCTTTCTTTTAGGAAAAATGCAATAGACTGGCTATATGTAGTTTTAAATTTAAATGATTAATTTAAGAAAATATTATCTGGACCAAGAAACTTCTTGCTTTATACCTCCCTCAGCCAATGTGATTGAGAGTTGCTTGCAAACCTATTAAGTAGCGCAAACTTTGAAAACAATATTTATTAGACTTATTTATTTATTGGACTTATATACCGCCCCATAGCGCTACAAGCACTCTCCGGGCGGTTTACAATTTTTTAATTATACAGGCTACACATTGCCCCCCCAGCAAGCTGGGTACTCATTTTACCGACCTCGGAAGGATGGAAGGCTGAGTCAACCTTGAGCCGGCTACCTGGGATTTGAACCCCAGGTCGTGAGCACAGTTTTAGCTGCAGTACAGCGTTTTAACCACTGCGCCACTTTTGAAAACAATATTAACACTATGTAGATTTTTCATCTGCCCACATGAATTTCAGACAGCAGGTTAAATATGTAAATGTCAAAACTTTATTTCCTATATTAATATACGGAATATCATAAAAATATTAGCACATTAAAAAGAAAGCAAACTACCCATACTCTCCAGCTGCCAGCATCTTGTGTCAAACATAAGACCAAAGGCAGTTCATTCAGAGGCCGAAACCCGGTTGCACAGCTCCATGAGCTCAACAGCAACGACGTTAGCAGCACTGTCAAACTATTGCTTGTTAAAAGCTTCCTCTGTCAATTTCACAGTGTAGGTTACTTTGTTGTATTTGTACATGTTGCGTGGATCCCAAAATCATCTTTGATTGACTATGATTTGGCCCTTTCAGCTCCACAGTTCTAAGATAAAGAATTTAATCAGAGGTGCTTTGCTGCTGCTACTATCATTTCCTTCGTGCACACTGAGCTGTACTACAGGCTTGCAGCGAGTATTCGTGAACATACTGGTTACACTCCACACTGTTGCCTTCCCCAATCTGGTAGATAACAAGCGTCTTTGAATTCAATGCCCATTGACCTCAGCCAGCATAGGCAATGGTCCAGAATGCAGAAAATTGTAATCTAACACATTTGGAGGACATCAGGTTAGGTAAGGGTGGTCTAAAAGACAAGGGAGAAAGGTGGGGCTGTACCGAGACTGGCCCTACCAGGGGAAGCTCTCCCCTGGTAGGGCTGGTCTACCGTCCCGGGAAAGCCTGTGTCGGCGGCATGGAAACCCTGGCCCGGCAGCGGCAGCTGAAGCCCGGGAGGCCTCCTGGCAGCGACGGTTGCAGCAATGGAGGCAAGGTGCTGCTTTTCAAGTCGCAGCAATGGAGGCAAGGTGCTGCTTTTCAAAAACTGTTTTGGGTGGCTTTCGCAGGGTGGGATTGGGCTGGTGTGGTTATGTTTCTTTTTAATTTGTTTTGCTTTTTGTAGCCCCAGGGGCCTGCAGTGTTTTATTGTGGGTTTTTTTGTATTTTTTTCTTCAGCCGGAACGGATTAATCTTTTTAATTTGTTTTGCTTTTTGTAGCCCCAGGGGCTTGCAGTGTTCTATTGTTTTTTTTTTGGTTGTATTTTTTTCTTCAGCCAGAACGGATTAATCGGTTTTCAACACATTCCTATGGGAAATGGTGCTTCTACTTACGAACATTTTCGTGAAGTAGAACAGGGCAGAACTGGGAGTGATAAGCAGGAATGTAAGAACATGACTCTTGCCATAATTAGGTCTACATACATTCCTGCTTTGGCCAGATGTGCCCCAAACTGCTTTGCCTTGGCTACGGGTTGACTATTCTTGGACTACAGCTTAAATTGATTATTAACATATCTGTTAAATCATTAGAGTTTTTAGTGTTAAATAAATGTTCAGTCTAGCCCAAAATTCATTTTTTAAAAAGCAAACACAAAAGATTTTACACTTTCACAGCAACTCTTATACTGTACAACTTTCTTAGCTATCTAAATGACACTTCTCATGGGCCTTTGGTCTAGTTATTTAGTCCAATAAAGCAAAGTGCAGGGTTTTTTTTTTTTAAAATATGAAAACAAAGCATCTATAATATTCTTAGTCTGGAACATACCATTTGAGCCTGCAGTTCTAGCTTGGTTTTGGAAGGTCTTGGATCGAGTTCCATACTGCCCTGAATAGTGGCTAGTTTGCGGAGATAATTCATTCCAAGAAGCACTCTGAGATGGATGGAGATTTGCCTGGGATTCTACAGGGGGGTTCACACGCTGAGCCCAGGTTAAATCTAAATCCTGGGGTTCTTCCTTCAGTTTTTCTCCTTCTTTGCCAACCCGCTGATATATTCTTCCAGTGCTGTCATTCAGTAATCTTCTCATTCCTGTAATTTGTTTTTTAATTTCCCGACTTTCATCTCCTGGTGAAAACAGAGACACAGTTATCACAGTAAATTAGCAAAAATGGTAATGATCCATATTACAGAACTACATTTCAGAGGACTCTGAGAATTTCTGCTTTCTGAAATACATAAACATACTACACATACTTTAATTACATTTTATTTAATATCCACAGAGAAGACTATAAAAAGATTTTTTGACACATCAATGCAACATGTGAAAAAAAATCCTTATGTAAGAAAAATGTAACCATGTTAATGAGTATTTACCACATTTAAAAACAATTATTTATGTGTCATAATCTAAGTACTAATTTTATTTACGATCATACTTCACACTGAATGTATGTGTGTATAAGTAGAATGTTGCCATTTTACCCACTGGGGCATGCAAACACATTTCAATATCAGTAGACATGTCTCTAGCAAAACTATCAAGCATTTTAAGCATGAGCGAAAATGGAGATTGAAAACAGACAGTATTTACACAAGATGAATTTCCTACAGTAAAATCACTTCCTTATGGGAAGCATGTATTTTCCCCATACATTTTAATTTTCTTAAATCACTTGTTCCATTAAATTAATATATCTCTGTTCGTATAGGTCCTCAAGATATCACTAATCTATAAATTGCATTTATTCTTGTATAAATTAAATGAATTGAGCTTTTGCTCCACTTATGATATTTATAGTTTCGATGTTCTCAACTTGTTCAGGAGATATCTTTTTATATATGCATCGACTTGAACGTTTTACATTGCACCTGTCCACAATTTAAAAATACTGTATTTGTGGTTTACTAAACTGTTCATTTGTCACCAATAACTCAATAGAAGGATACCACTGTTCAATGAAATTTTGTCTCTTTTTCTGTCCAATGTGAAATGCAGTTTTAGTGTTAGTTTATGTTGCCACTGTCCATACCTGTTCCATTCATAACCTTATGGATGAATTACTGTAAGAACAGCTGGCCAGCTCAGCGGTTTAGCCATAACCTTATGGATGAATTAAGAACAGCTGGCCAGCTCAGCGGTTTAGGTTGGGAGTTCAAGTCTCCAGTATACCTCCTTGACAGGGACCAACATTCCCTCTAAGCCGACCTGGGCCAAGTGAGGCCCGCAGGCTGCATACGGCCTGAGAATCGCTCCTGTCCAGCCCACCCGTCACTGCTGAGTGAGCCAGAGCTCCGGCTCCAGTCACCCAGCATAGCAGTAAGCAAAAGTCGTGAGATCCAATGCTGGGATCTCGTGGGTTTTGACTGTTACTCTTGAGCTGCAGACTGCGGAGCCTGCGGCTCAAGAGGCTGGAAGCAATCCTTGCGCAAGTGACGTGATGACGCATCATGTCGCCTGCACGGGATAGAAGTCAGTCGGAAAGGAAGGCCACGGGGGAACAAAGGACAGGTGAGTTAGCTCGGTGTCAGGTTTTTTTCCCCTTTCCCCCCCTGCAGTGAACGAATTACAACTGATTTTTCATGTGGGCCCCTATAGAAATTAATTGCCCACCCCTGCTCTAAGCTGTACAGTCAGCCCTCTGAACTGCGTGGGACAGGGTTTGTTTGTTTGTTTGTTTGTTTGTTTGTTTGTTTATTTGTTTATATCCCGCCCATCTGGTCTGGTCAACCACTCTGGGCGGCTTCCAATAAAAGTGTATACAGTAAAACATAAGAATATTACAAATAATCGGAACACATACAATAATAAAACAAATAAAGGGGGAAAAAATAAAAAAATAAAGAAAGAGTTAAATGTTGATAGGAGGGAAGGCATGAACATATAACCATGTTTTTAGTTGACTCTTGAAAGTGCCCAGCGTAGAGGCCGCACGAATCACCGGAGGAAGGTTATTCCGAAGGCGAGGAGCCACCACCGAGAAGGCCCGGTTTCGTGTCCTTTCCTTCCGGGCCTCCCTCGGCGTTAGGCTCCTCAGCCTCACCTCCTGGCTCATGCAGGTGATCCGAGTAGATCTAGGTGGGAGCAGGCGTTCTGCCAAGTATCGGGGTCCTAAACTATTTAGGGCCTTATATGTAAGCATGAACACTTTGAAGTCAATGCGGAAACGGAAGGGCAGCCAGTGCAGCATGGCCAGAGTAGGAGAGATATGTTGGTATTTTCTCACTCCAGTAAGGAGTCTGG